ATCTTGTCTCTCTCTGACACTAATGATTGCCTTCTGCCATACAGTAGATGATTAACAAGGATGCTTAATAATAAATGAGTGAGGTTTGAAAAATTAAGAGAGCACATGCAGTTAGAAGTTGTGAAGTCAGGAAACATGCTCAAGGTCTCTAGCACACTGTCTATCACATGCTAACAATATCAGAAAAAGGTTGACCCAGGTTCTGAAGCACAGGAGAAAACTCTAATTGGTAGATGTAGAATAGGGGTGGGCTCTCTCAGCTCACATTAAGAGATTATCTAATTTTTCTCCATTTACGTATATTTCATAGGATGGTTTCCTTAAAAAGGAGACGTTCAAGAAAGACAAATTTAAGGACATCTGAGAACCATGGATTTTTATCTTATGGCTGACATATTTAATGAAATAGACTCCCTTCATTCTAATCTAGAGCTCATAATTGAAGAATCAGGGGAAAAATTAAGATTGAAAGCCTCTCCTGAGAGAAAAGAAACTAACCTAAATGACTCTTACATTACTTTAAGTCATGCTCTTATATTGCCTTTAAAAGAGTCAGGGAACAACAGTTTACCATCTTATGTAGGAGAATCATTAAAGTACTAGAAGATATTATTCAACATCTCTCAGTCTTTACTCTTTTAAAAGAAAAAACATCCTAAGTGTTAAAGCCTCTCTAATTTATATTATTCTCCCAATATTTTTTTTCTATCTTTATGTCTCTTTTATAAGCATCCTTTATTTCCTCCACATTCCTAAGCTGAGGGACCCAAAGCTTGCTGATAAAATTATTATTTCTATGTTTTTGTTTCTTCTCTCATGTCAGACTTACAAGAATTTAAATGTTTTCTAAAATTAAACTTAGAGATACAGAGGAGGCAAAGAAGTAGAAAGCACTGACCTTAACCTCAAAGAATTGATCACTGGGGATGGGAAGCAGGATGCTCATACACTTTTACTAATCCAAGAAAAACGTCCATGTGTAATTCAAGGGCCAGATTGCAGACTATATAGAAGTGTTTTAGGAATTTAGAAAAGCAATAGAGCCTCAGGGGTTGTTAAGGAAGAACCCATGGACACTGATGAATATAGAGTGAGACTTAAAGAGCATCTGGAATTAGAGAGGAAGAATAGGAAGGACTATGAAAAGAGGTGAATATGGGAGGAGGCTGGAGTATAAAGGCATCTGGAACAGAGAGTTTATATGGCAAATTCATATGAGATACTTAATTTTTAAATGTTTCCTCCTACCACAAAACTTTAGATGTATGTCCATTTTGGACATCATCTAGATAGATGGAAATCATCATATTTCCTCTCCAAAGATGATCCTTCTATAAATTAATCTCTTTAGCTTTGATAATTAATAAACATCATGTTGAATTTTAATTCATCTGTGCTCTTAATTAGCATTTTGACATTGAGTATGTGTGGAACATTAAAAAATTAGGGTCCAGTTAGCAGACTACAAAAATTTGATAGGCCAAGCACATGGTAGAGGCTCAACAAATATTTATTGAGTCAACGGGGAAATAAGAAAGAAAAAGAAAAAGAAGAAACAAACTATGGAGTTTGAAGTTATTATTTCTCATTGATTTTTCAAATGTCAGGTGAGCAATTATTTAAATTATAACAATCAGTATTTTGAATCCTATCTTTAGGTTTAATTCATTATAATTTGCCATATCTTTAAGAATACAGGGCACATATCGTTATATTTTTATTTTCTTTTTTTCAGATTAACTATGGTTCTTCATCTTTTTTTGAAGTTCCCGGTTTTCAATAGGTAACGAGTTATAACATGAATTATTACATTATTTCTTTCAGGAATAGCCCGAACTGAAATATCAGAAGATAGCTCAAGAGTAACAGTGGAAAAGAGCAACAGTTTGGTTCCATATTACAATACTCTAAAGAAAATAAAAAGAAATTCCAGGAAATATTAGTTGTAGTCTAAATGAACCTTCGACTTTATATAAACTTTCCTGATTGACAGAGGTAGACAGGGGAGTGGAACAAAGAACGTGAGAAGAAGTAAGCAGTTATTTACAATAACAAACTCCTTTCCCCAGGGGTAAGTTATTCCGGAGCAGGAATGAACTGAAATCCTTTGCATAAGCAAGAACTGAGTAAGATAAACATTTCAGACGTTGCCGTAGATTTGGAAGACTCTCTCAGCATTCCAGACTCCCCTGTGTTGTATATTGTGGGAAAAGGGCCACCAGCCTTGAAACCATTGTGGCCTGTTCTCAGGGCGACATCTGCGTTTAAGAGCAAGATAACCTTGGGGAAGTCATTTAGCCTTTCTGAGTCTGTTTCTTTATCAGCAAAAATAGGGATAATCATCACTATCTCTTAGGATGGTGCAGATTTAAAAAGGCAGTATCTGCAAAAGCCTGAGTGTCTGATAAATAGTAGGAGCTCAATAAATTGTGATTTGTATTAATTCTTAAGCAACCATAACGGGGCTGAAATTCTCTACTCCACTGGGGCATGAGGGACAGACCTCTTTACCTTTGTGAATACAATCAAATCAACGTTTTAATTCCAAGCAGATATTCTACAATCTACATGTAGATTATGGAATATCTACATGAAAAAAATAAAGCTTGAGCCAATTCTCAATTATCCAATGTAACAAAAACAAGACATACAGAAATCCCCCTTTACCCGAGGTTTCGTTTTCCATGGTTTCAGTTACCCGCAGTCAACTGGTTCGAAATATTAAACAAAACATTTCAGAAATAAACAATTCATAGGTTTTAAATTGTGCATTGTTCTGAGTAACATGATGAAATCTCATGCCATCTGGCTGGACGCATTCCTTTGTCCAGCACGTTCACACTGTATAGGCCACCTGCCTGTTAGTTGCTTAATAATCACCTTGATTATTACAGCAGCGAGACAGAAAGACAGAGAAAGAGACCACATTCACTTACCTTTTATTTACAGTATATTGTTGTAATTCTTCTATTTTATTATTCATTATTGTAGTTAATCTCTTGGTGTGCCTAATTTATAAATTAAACTCTATCATAGGTATGTAGGTCTAAGAAATAAAACACTGTATACATAGTACAATAACATTGCATATGTAGTATGTTTCTGCAGTTTCAGGTATTTACTCGGGGAAATGTATCCCCCACAGATAAGGGAGAACCACTGCACCTGGGAAGAGGGAGTCCGTGTTTTTTTTGTTCTACTCCTGTGTTGGTTTCCGCTCCTCATCTCCCCTTTAACCACCTCCAGTCTCTGCTCTAATTCACCTACAATCTGTCAGTCTTTTTCTCATGTCTACTACCCAGCAAACTTATTTAGCTTTTGTCAAATTTTAAGAATACTCCTACCACAAAATTTAAGGATCTGGAAAAATCTAAAATTCAAATAAATCATTCTATACAACCTAAAGGGCGTACTCCCCCTAGACCCTGACCATGATTAAAAATGACATATACGTAGTCTCAGCTCTGTCCACATGATGCACAGTACTGTAGACAGAAATGTTTTAAAATATTTCAAAGTACACTTAAAACACATAAAAACCATTGGAGAGAGTTTGGGTTCTTGTATTAAAGGAGAGCTCCTTCTATTTTTAGTTAAGAAAGATTTTTATAAACCTTAAAATTGAAAATATGCTTTAAATATCTACAATATATCAAGAATAAGTTTTTTAAAAATCTCAAACCCATGTAGTATGCTGTTGGTGAAATCTACTTTCAGGTCAAAAAAAAAAAAAAAAAAAAAAAGCAGATCCAGAGAGATGCTTTTATTTATTTTAACCTGTGAAATGTTTTGCAGCCACAGAAATTATTCCGGAAACAGTAATGTTAAAACTGTTCAAAAAAATGAACTTTTGATTTGCATAATGCAAATACAGAATACTTTGCAAATGGAACTTTTAACAACAGTTAAATATATATTATATATATATATATATAATGGTGTGAAGGGAACAACTTCAGGTCATAGATTTTTTAGTATCATCAATAACCCCTTCCCATGGCCAGCCTAGGGCACAGTTGTGAGGTGGTATAAGTTGGTCTTCATTAAGAGTGTTGAACTTTCTAGTTGTGTAACCTCCCCAGGCCCACTCTTGTTACACAATTTCATCCCTGTCTAGGATTTCTTTTAGAAATATCAACCTGGTAAATCACTTATCAGGGTAATTAGTGTATGCCCCACCTCTTACATGAGCCTTTGCAGTAGAACAATGATTTTCAACCTTTTTCATTTCATGTCACATATAAACTAATTACTAAAATTCTGTGGCATATCAAAAAAAACATTTTTTGCCTATCTGACAAGAAAATAGATATAACTTTGATTCATTTACACCAGAAAGCTATTGTCATGTTGGCTGTTGTCATTTTTTTTTTTTTTTTTTTTTTTTGACAATCTAAGGGAAAAGAGGTCAGTGTCCTTGACTAAATAGTCAGGTATTGATTGCTGTAAAAATTCTTGTGGCACACATGTTGAAAATGGCTGCATTATAAAAAAGTGATTAGCCAGAAGTATCTCATCTTCAAAGAATAAATCTCTACTGGTGAAACTTCAGGCACCACCTATTTTGGGTAGGGAATTATTGGGGTCAGAAAAGATTTCCTAGCACAGGACTAGAACTAGAAGAATACTCATAGTAATAATTGCCTTCTATTCTATTTCTCAAATTTTGATTGTGCAATCACATGTACTATATTTGCAAAAGATATACCTTAAAAAAAAGAACAAGAGATTTCTAGGCCCAATCCCAGAATCATTAAGACAGACTCTCTGGGATTGAGAAACTTACAACTTAGAAAGGTAAGACATATGAATAAACACATACAAACGAGTATTATTATCCCAAGTTTGGAAATGATCAGATTATACCTTATAGACAAAAAGCTTCGGGTGTCCATACATGCATTTGGCGTTTCAGTATTCATTGTGCCATGTAAAAATAGAAACTTTAGTTTAAATTGTAGCAGTATACAAGGAACCCCAACTTTATCTTTTGGTCTTACCAGGCACTCCAGCTTGGATCCAGAAGTTGATGTCTGCCCCTTCTCCATCACCGAACACCCGTGTGATGTTGACGGGCTGCAGGAGGCTCATGACCTCCTTCATGATGGCTCTGGCCTTTTCACTGCCGGTGAACTGCAGCCCATAGGGTAGGAAGGTTCCCCCATCAGACTCCATCACCAGGCTGTAGTTGGAAATATTTGCCTAAAAAAAAAAAAAGACAAAAGTGTTTGGTTTATTTCTGTTGCTTCTATGCTTTCTCCTTGGGAACTATCAACAACAATAATCAAATACTTTATCTCTTCACCAGTTCTTGCCAAAACAATCTTGCTCTGCCTGACTTAGGGTCCGGCCTGCAAATTACCTAACTGTTCTGAGATGCATAATTATTCATCCTGGGATTTGCCAAACTCAAGTTGACTTGGAAGGACTAAAATAATATAATAAACAGAAATATAAAGCCCTGTATTAAAGTTATTCAATTATTTCTACTAGCCATATTGTTCTCTCTACCCATTTTCTTAAGCGAATGCCGCATAGCAGGATGTAATTCTTCCTATATGGTGGGGGATCTCCAGGTAGTATTAGTGATAATCCAGCAAAACAAAGTATATGCTCTGTGGACTATTTCTTTGCACCTCTTTCCTCTAAATAGATATTCTATCTTTTTTTAATTGTGAGTTCTGCTGAAGCTTAAAGGTATCAAGATGATAGGTTTGTCTTGGGTTTCTGAAGTTGTTGTTGTTCTATCTGTTGAATCCCCCAGGAGGGAGGTAATAGAACAACACATGAAACACTGCTCTGTCTGGTGCACAGCCATAGCACTCTAGACCCTGGCTCTCTGCCAGGCCGCAAGTTTGTCCACTTTCTCCAAATAAAGTCTGGTAACAAATCACACAGTGACTTCATGTAGCCAATATTGGCACTACAAGAGCTCCGAACGTAAGAGGCTCTCACCAGATTGCACAGCTAAATTGCCACACTGACCTAAGACCAGCAAGTTTAAGGTCCTTCCGACTGGTCTGGCTATCTGTTTCCCAGGAGACATCCACTTCTTCAAGACTGACCAAGTACTACCAACAACTACTAGGCTGAGTTATTCCCAAGCTATTCCTTGAGGGCACTGTCTTCATTCCTCATTTTTCTACCTAGTAAAAATCAATAATAACATTTGTACAGTGCTCCCAGAGAGCTTTCATATTTATAATCTCCTTTGATCTTCTTCTATAACCTCTAAAGTAGACAAAGCAGCTTTATGGTTGATGCTGTCTTATAGGAAAGGAACTGAGGATCAGAGATGTCAAGTGATTTGTTCGAAGTCACTCAGTTGGCAAGCAGTAAAACTGGGTCTGAAATCCCTGCTTTTCAAAACCCTATGCTGAAATGCTAGCATGCAGTAGAGTGATAAGTAATGCTTGTTCTGAATTATAATGATTTTTCACTTACATAACCAATTGAGAGTTGCATAAGTATTTATTTTTTTCTAACACAGATTCCTTTTATAATGATTTCCCAACTATTGCCATGGAAGTGTAAAAGTTGTCCCAAGGGCACAAGCAGTGGTGAGTTCTAAAGGGGGATGTTGCCAGCATTTACAAGGACTGAATGGGGCGACGGCAGGCCCTGGGATACCAATATTTTGTTGTTGTTAATCATAAGAAAGTTAAAGAGAAATCTGCTCATATTTCTACTCTCACTTCTAAGGAATTTCTGTCTTGATGATTTTCAGAGAAAGACCCAAGGCATTTATGATGAAAAGTGTCATCTCAGTTTTCCACTGTGCCTACTATAGAATGGCAGCATCATTAGAGTAAATAATGTGCAAACTATTTGCATTAATGCCTTATATTCAGGGCTCATTTAACTAGCACATCAATGCTAAGCTGGCAGGTTGACATGTCCTAACCCTCTCCCCTCGTATGCCCTGCTCAGCCCCACACCAAATTCTCTCTGTCCCCTGTGAAAAAGAGAATGGAAACATCATGACGCATTTGCAAATGAAAACAGAACTGGGTAATCTTCTACGTGAGCCTTCCCACATTACAGGCAAATCCCATCTTTCCAACATGAAAATGAAGGAAATTGCTCTTAATTATTTACTATTTAGGTTAAAAGTGGAGCTAGGCAGCAGTTTGGCTGTCAGACCCAACACTAATCAACAGCCCAGTGAGACAGACTTAGCCCTGGACTTAGTCTATTCTATTCCTGACTCAGCATTGACATGCTGGCCTGCCAAGGGCGATGACTGGCTCTCTCCCTCTGTTTCCCTGTTATGTCACCTTGGCCTTTGGCTTCCATCTGTAGGTTGGTACAAATGTTCTTTCCCAAGGCTTAAATAATGATTCTGTGCATATGAAGCTTTGAGCACCTTAAAAAAAAAAGACTTTTGTAGGCCAAAGTCAAAGTGGTAGCATGAACTAAACTTGTCAGGCACCTAACAAAATGTGCATTAAGGGCTTCTTGGTTGTCTTCAACTGCAAATGAACAGATGCCCTAGGGACAGCAGACTCCGACTCCATGGTTTGTGAATGCTATGGTGCAATGTCACAGGATGTTGATAGGAACATAGAGAATAATACATAAAAAGGAACTTTCAAAGATGTCCTACGCTATATATGTAGCAGCCAGTTGAGCAGAGAGATAGGGAGTGAGCTTTGGAATTAATGAATTAACCAGTCATTGGCTGTGCGACTTTGCCCAGTCTGGGTAACTGGATTCAGTTTCTTCCATGAAACAGGCATAGTAATGGCAACCAGTTCATGGATGTGTAGGAAAGAATGCAGCCTAAAGCCTGTATAGTTAGCACTCGATAAACACTTGTTACAGGTCTTACACATTTAAACCATTCAGATAGCTGCTTATAACGCATCCTGAAGTACTTCCCACACTCCAGACACTGTGTGAAATGCTTTATAGCTTATCTCATGTAATGCTCACATTCTCTGACATATATTTCTTATTTCACAGGAGAGGCAACTGAAGTTTAGTTGGGTCAACTAACTTTCCCAGGGTTACCTAGTTAGTAAGTGGGGCAGCCAGAATTCAGATGCAGGGGTCTGCCCCCCAAGCATGTGCTCGCTACCCCTGCACTGCTGCGCCTGCTGGCACTTCCACGTGTCAGGCTGCATGTCCTCACTTTTAATATAAAATACAGAGACTGTAGTTACACAAATGCATAGAGTTTGAATTTTTTTTTATGATCATACTACAAGGCCTACTTGGACAGATTTTATCGCCTTTGCTAATAAAGTAGTTTAACTGAACAAAGAGAAGAAAGAAAGCAAAAACTAAAACAAAAACAAAAAAAGCCCCACTATTGCTCTATAACTTCCTTCCAACTGGAATAAAAAGCTTGAAATAATAAAAGATCTTTTCAAGCCGAATTAGACAGGATGTAAACTAGAATTCTGGCGTACGTAGAGACATGTTTGATTTCTATTCATGTAGAATTTTATTAGCTGCTGCTAACATGATGGCAGCATTCTATTGTTTACTATTTATATATAAACATCTCCATATGTGTTCAATAAAGAGCTAAGAAAACAAACCACCCACCGTCTATGACACTGCTTTTTCCTCCTCATTTATGGAATCATTGTCTAATTGTTAGCACATGGTGAAGGAGTTGGGAAAACAAAATGTCTCTGCACAAAGAAACCGGAATGAATAAGCTGGGTCACTGGGCTGTTAGACCTGCCACTTCTCAGGAACATGTTGTCACAAACATCCGTGTTCCTTACTATGCCATAGTCATTGGGGCCACACTCAGTGTAGATTTGAAAAGTTGATTATAGCTAGTGACAGCAGAGCAGAGCCATACTGATTTCACTCAGCCCATTTTAGCACACATAACAAGATATCTGTTTTCCTGTTTACAGGGTAGAGGAAGAAACCCCCTTCTAGAGACTGAATGCTTTATTGCTGAGACAATCAGCACCAACTGAGACAAGCTGAGGCATATAGATGAGGAGGCTGAACAGCTCAAAGCTCAGCTATTATCCGCAAAGCCCTGCTTTGCTCTCTTAATAAAGAGAAGCTCCTCTTTATTAGGAGATACGGAAACTGTCCTTCATTGCCATGTAAGATACATGAGAAATGCTCCTTGGTTGGGATCATTGGATTAGTTAATATCTGCTTAGGGTTGAGGGATTCATAACTTTGTCTTGTGCTAGAATCACATCCTATCACACTTTTTTTCCTTCTTTAAGGGTCAGTTTACTCTACAAAGAACAATTTGGTAACCAATAGCATTCTTTGGGTGCAAAGCAAGATTAAAAAGAAGGGAAATATTTAAAAATAAATACTGTTTTTAAATGCTTACTCCCTAATATAAGCACAAAGATGATGTTTGCGTTCTTTGCTTTTACAAAATTCCAGGCGATTCTTCTTCAGAAATATAGACCCAAGTTCAACATCTCCATTCCCTCCAAATTTGGCTCCTTCCTTGTTTTAAAGCTTTTATTTTCTAATAACCTAGGTGACATGTTTTTGGTTTTGAACTAAAGTGGCACCGCAGTCCCAACATCAAATGAGGAGAAAAGAAGACTTCTAATTATTCAAATTAATCCTGTAGCCCCCTCAATTCAATCTTCAGAAAAGGACACTCTGCCCCGACACAGGGCGATCGTTCTCAGTAGCACTGTCCTGCCGCAGTGAAGGTTAATATTTTACAGATGACGGTGGCGAGAGCTTGGTCAGGTGGTGGGCTCAAAACAAGTTCTCAGAACCAAATCATCTAATGACACCAGGTGCTGAGTTGTTGCAATCGTCTCTTCCAGCTGTGCCAGTGACCCCGAAATTCCCAGTTCAAGGGGGAGGGGCTTCTTCACACAGCTTCAGCTCTAACACCTGTCATGACTAGGGGCACTAGATAAAGAGATACCTCCCTGCTGTGCAAAGCCAAGAACAGGTTTTACTTTCTGGTCAAGTGTACTCTGAACTTCAGACTTTTATTTCTGACAGTCTCTAGCATTCAGCTTTGAACAGCCTTGGGTGCCCACGGGAGAGCCAGGGACGGCATGATGACAAAGTGGAGTGCCATACGTTATTTTTATTTGACAGCTAAACTGGCTGCAGCTTGGGGAAATGGGCAGTCTTGGGTATGTTACACTAGTCCTCAAACTGCAGGCACCTATGGTGGGTTAGCCCCCGTTCCGCCTGGAGATGGGAATAGAATAAATGGCTTCTGGAGATCTCTTTCCAGC